CCTTTCACCTTATTCTGTATTTTTTCCCTCCTATCAAGGCAAATTTTTGCATTAGACTGCAATGGTTATAGGACAGGAAAAAAATGTATATTTTTAATTTTGTTATAAAATCTATATGAACTATGATTTTTGATACATAGGTACTGGTCCTTATAAATAATATATAAGGAATTAAAATATTTGAACACACCAAGGATTTGGAAGAGTAATAAATGTGACCTATGTAGGGCATCATTTAAAGATTTGGCAGTGGTAGAAGGTCATAAAGAAGCTCAGACCCCTGACAATGCGAACTTTACAAAGCCCTTCCTCCCGATGCTGGTGTTAATAATGATAGCTGTTTTCATGCAATTTAGATGATTTTAGTGATGAGACTGAGGAGGAATTGGGAGGTAACAATTAAAAATCTGTAAGATTGCTCAGCACTTCTTCGCAAAAATCTTCCCCAAATTCTCTTTTTCTTTTTCATTTCTGTTTCTATTCGTCTTGAGATGGGGCTGAATGGTTTTAATTGGGGTAAGGCATTGTGAGGTCAACTTAACCTCCCAAAAAAACTCTGTCCAGCTGGCCTATGATCACCTCTGTACTGTGCAGACCATCCCTGGGGGCCAAAGGAGAAGAGCCCTGACATCACCCCTGAATCCATCTCTGGACTGGCCCGGGAGATACTGAAGTAGAGGGTGGTTTGAAAGTCTTCTGAGTGCCTTTCACTCATTGAAACCTTGGTGTATTATGTGAAACTGTATTTGTATGATGGTTCTTATCTTGGTGAAATTGCTGTAGACTTGTGTTCTGGGAATTAAACATATACTTCATAAAGTCACATACAACAGTAAAGCATCACAAGTGTTTTATACTACATTTTGACTTACTCATATGGGAGTGACTTTAGAAATTATCTGTTCAGGAAATCCGATTTTACAAGGAGGCAATTGAAATTCCTGGAAGGAGCATGGTTGCAATTCTTATTCCCATTAGCATAGGAGAAGGCAGGGCTTGAATCCCTCTCTGTGCCTTGAAACAGTGTGCATGCATTGACATAGAACTATGGTTGCAAAAATAGAGAAATATACCCGAAACACAGGTTGGAAATAAATAATTTCCCATCAATTCAGTCTGTAACAAAACCCCCTAATTCTAGCGTGAGTCTAGGTAGCTTATCCTTTATTATTTTTCCATACTGAACACATACAGTATATTCTACAAAAAGAAGCCAGCATTTAGAAGGCCAGATGACTACTTAATGGGGGCTTCAACAAATGCCTTAATTTCATACCATGTTGTGTAATAAGACTTTGTAATCTTTACAGTATCTACCAGAGTTTTGTGTGTGAGTAGTGCTCAGTAAATCTATGTTAATTAAATGAAAGGATGAAATAGATGCATCTCTCAATTTATTGTCAATGAGTGAAAAAATTTCTCTCGTTACAGACTTATATGCAGTTGCCATGTAGATGAATTGCATCTTTCTATGTTTCAAGAAAAAATTTAAAAAGCTACATAATAAGGAATGCCTACTGAGTGCCAGTCACTTTATATTCATTGTCTCATGTCATCTTTCGCACATCCGTATACCATAAGAATATAATCTCTATTTATAGGTGAAAAAAAATGAGTCTTAGACAAAACAATAAAGAGCATAGTCAGGATTGGAACCACATTCTCTCTGACCATAAAACCTATCCATTTCTCATACTGTGGTCAAATCTGTGATATATTAAAGCAGCTTCATTATATGCCTTTCGAATGTCTCTGTGTTTGGGTGGGTCCTAAGGAGAAGGAAAAGCAGAGTCAAATTCCCTGCAGACAAGATTTTCCATCCGAATGGTCGGACCCACTATGCTGTTCTTTGTTTGCATGGCTTCACAGTGCATCCCAATACCGTGCAGCCCTGTTCATCTCCAGGCGTATGGAAGGAGTTTTATGCTTTAAGCAATTAGACTTGACAGCACTATTGTTTCTTTCTTATTTAATATCCCTCAGCCTGGAGACCAGCCAGAATCTGTATTCTTTCTCCAAATTTAATTCTCAGACCTCGTACATATCACTTAGTTGTCAGGAGACAGCAAGTTAATGGCATTTGTTCCTATGGCCTAGGAGCATCTGGGTTATGTCAGTTTTTAGGTGGCCTGCTTAACTCAGAGGGAATAAAGCTCTCTGTCTAATGATCTTTCCGGGGCCCTTGTCATTGGTGATTTTGCTTTCCAGATCCTATGCTGTTCTGTAAATGTCATGGGATGATAGGATTTCTAGGTATTCATTTGTTTCTGCTCAAAGATGAAAGGCAGTTATAAATATGGAAGGAGCAGAAAACAAGGATATGATAGAGGAGAAATGAATGAGGTCATAGTTGTTGTGTGTGACTAGGAGGTTTGGCAAGTCTAAAACTCCAGGGGACATGGAAACATGGGCTATGCATGGAGTAGGCCAGTGATGGCGAAACTTTTGAGCTTGGCGTGTCAGCATTTTGAAAAACCCTAACTTAGCTCTGGTGCCGTGTCACATATAGAAATTTTTTGATATTTGCAACCATAGTGAAACAAAGATTTATATTTTTGATATTTATTTTATATATTTAAATGCCATTTAACAAAGAAAAATCAACCAAAAAAATGAGTTCGCGTATCACCTCTGACACGCGTGTCATAGGTTCGCCATCACTGGAGTAGGCAAAAGAATGTGTCATTTTTGTGTGTGTCATTTCAATTCAACTAAACTATTTCAATTCAAATCAGTTGAACTCAGTCCGTTCAATTCCACAGGTATTTCGTTGAGAATCTCGTGAAGAGCAGGAAGTGTGCTAGATGCTGAAACAACCTAGATATCTTTAAGGTTTTGTGTGGCCACGCAAAACAGAACCAATAACATGAATAGCTTTGAGAAAGTCACTTCACCTCCTGGGGCCTCTGTTTCCTCAACTGTTAAATGGTGGTCTCTTCCAACCACTCACATTTGGTGACATTCCTTATGTGAGGGCTATGCTTTAATTGAAAGAGCACTCTTGCTTTAAAATTGGTGATATATCTTATTGTATTTTTTTATTTTTTTATATGATTTATTTTTAAGCTGAACTAACAACATACGCTGGGGAGCAAGATCTCAAATGCTCCTCCAGTGATTTATGTTTTAGTTCTGGCTCTGCTCTTATTTAGCTGTTTGAACTTTGTAGTCATTGTGGCTTTTAAATCTAATTGTTATTCTATCCTACAAAATGGTGTATGGAATGGCACATAAACTGTGACCACATACATATGCAACTGGTGTCTGTGGCAGTAAACATGGCTCTGACCAGAACAAGAGTGATTTTAATTTCCAAACATGAATATCTCTGAATACAGAGAAGTTTCTGGCAAGGTTTTCATTGGTGAGGGAATTGTTTGTCAACTTGCAGTGAAAAATATTTTATTAAACTGACATTTATTGAGATCTGTAGTATCTTCTACAGTTCACTAAACATTGTAGTTTCCCTCACTTTAGGGCCCTTACTGCACATGAATTTCCCACCTGATTGATATCAGGCTTTGCCACATGACTTGCTTTAGCCAATAAAATGTGAGGAGGAATTCGATGTGCCACTTGGGAATGGAAGCTTTGAGAGAGGCCATGAGCCCTAGCTGGTTTGGGTCAGTGGATAGAGGGTTGGCCTGCAGACTGAAGGGTCTGGGGTTTGATTCTGGTCAAGGGCACATGCCATGGTTGTGGGTTTGATCCCTAGTGGGGGGCATGTAGGAGGCAGCCAATCAATGATTCTCTCACATCATTGATGTTTCTCTCTCTCTCCCTCTCCCTTCTTCTCTGAAATCAATAAAATATATATATTTTTAAAAAGGGGTGTGAATAATTACTGTGTTCCCTTTCTCTCTGCCATGAAACCAGCAATGTTTCAGGACCTGAGTTGTCCATCATGAAAATACTATGGAGCTAGTCTGTCATAATTATAGTGTGATCAAGGACACATATTTTGCCAATGTAACCTGCTAAGATTTCTTTTTCCATTGCATTATAATTCCATCCACCCTGACTACACTGCGCTTGCTACTGAGAAATACTGTGGTGAGCAAGGCAGGTCTACTTGTTATGGACACTTCAGCAAGAGGCAATAGTAAGTATGATACATGCTAGAGCACAGGAAGCATGTAATGCATGCTTTTATTGGGGGAAGCAGACTTGGCCTTGGGTCAGAGACGGCCATCTTTTTTTATTTTTTTATTTTTAAAATTTTGTTTTATTGCTTAAAGTATTACAAAGAGTATTACATATGTCTCCTTCCCGCCCTTGACATTCTCCCAACCTCCCCTACCCCCCAGTGTCTTATGTCCATTGGTTATGCTTATATAGATGCCTACAAGTCCTTCCGTTGATCTCATAATATGCACTTAAGCTGACAGTTTATAAATTAATAGGAGTGAAGTTGACCAAGGGCCAAGAAGACGAAGAGGGTGTTGTAAACAGAAAGAAAACCACAGGCCAAGGCGTACAAGGCAGAAAGGTTTGGGGAGATTTGAGGAGCTCATTGTCCAGGGCGGCTGCAAAGCAGAGCACAAGGGGAATGAGAAGGAGCATGGCTGGTGAGATAGCATCCATAATACTAATACTGAGCATTCATTAGCTCTGTGCTAAGTGCTTTACATATGGTTCCCTCACGATTATTATCACCATTGTATCGAGGAGGAAATTGAGCCAGAGAGAGGTTTAATAACTTGCCTGTAGCCACACAGCAGGGATGTGATTTTATCTGAAAGGCAATAGGAAATCACCGAATGGTGTTGCACAGGGGAACCTCATCATCACATTCACATTTTAGAAAGAGCATCTGGCAGCAGGAGCGCCCCCACTCTGATTCCCATTCTGGTTGGAGGGCATGTGGGCCTTGACTTCTTACCAACCCGGCTCCATTAACTAGGGCAAGGGAAGGAAGCTGATAGCTGGACCACTGCAGGAAGGTCACTTTTAAAAAAATGCTTTTAATAAATTAATAAACGTTATTATTTTTTAAATTAAAAATGATGGAATGCTTCATGAATTTGCAAGTCATCCTTGCCCAGGAGCCATGCTATTCTTCTCTGTATTGTTGCATTTATTATATGCACTGGCAAAGCAAGCACATATAAGTTCAAGTTTTGCCCTAGCTGCTTTGACTCAGTGCCTACAGCATCGGCCTGCGAACTGAAGGGTCCCAAGTTCGATTCCGGTCAAGGGCACCTACTTACTTACCTCAGTTGCAGGCTCGATCCCAGGCTCGATCCCAGAAACGATGTGTCTCTCTCACATCAATGTTTCTCTCTCTCTGTCTCACACCCTCCCTTCCTCTCTCTCTAAATTTCAAGGGAAAAATATCCTCGAGTGAGGATTAACATTAAAAAAAAAAGTTCAAGTTTTTAAGGAGCGGGGGTGGTATCTGCAAGGAAAAAATAAATTGTGGGTCTCAAGAGCATGAATATTTGGGTAGTAGTTTTAATAACGATATAAATGTAATAAATTGATTCTCCAAATGAGCTCCTATGCCTAATTCAAATAATGGATATGATATTACATCCATATTTTGAGCATTTCAATTTACTTTTGACTGTAAAATAGATACTACAGCGAGTAAATTCAAGGCAAAGCCAATATCTTTAAGCAGATTTGGTTAGTGGTCCCTGTACTCTTTCCTCCTTGTGTCCTGAAGGTGAATAGTGGTGATCACGAATTGTATTTCTCTTCATCGTAGAGAGATGCATAAAGCAAGAGCGGAAAGCGCCCCTCCTGAGTGGCAGTGATGTCTCGGGTAGTTATTTTCTATGAGTTGTTTGCTATCCATCAGGAGCCCCTAGAGACCTGGCCTTGACTGCAGAGGTCCCCCAGTCAAGATGCCAGGGACTGCGATTAGCCTGAATGCAATTCAGATCTTTGTAGACTGCCTCTGTTCCAGCGGAATTCAAAGGAAGAATTGTAGGTAATTTTGACGTTAACTGTTTGCCTCCTATACCCTCCTCTGTACACTACTCTCAGAATCCCAACTCTTTCTCTCCCCCCTTTTTCATTTCCTCCTTCCCTCCTTTCCTTTTTCTTCCCCTTCCCTGCTTGCTCCCCTGACTAGTCTCTTTTCTCTTTTAAATCAGTGAGTGTCTGCAGAAAAGAACATGCTAGAAATGAGCTCACTGCCAATATGCGTGAGATTTACTGCAACAGAGACAGGATGTTATGAGGCATTGCACATATTAATCTTCCTGTTTTTGTCTATAAAGACCAGGATTAGGCTACTTTCATTTATGTGCTTTTAAGGAGACGCAGTTGGATAAGGGCAGGAGATTTGGGGGGTGGGAGAGATTTATAGCTCAAGCGTCCAGGAACCCAGGTCTGCTCTGTAACTGTGGCTTCTCCCGGGCAGCCACAGGCATGTGTGCTTTGAGGTGCCATTCGGAGGGGCCAGCCGGGCAGAGGTTTTTAATGCTGCTCTTTGCAAACAAACTGCCCGGTCAGGGAAGTTGTCAGAAAAGATCAGTGCAGGTTTAGGGATGGTTTTTTGAAGTTTTTCCTGAAATAACCAATAATGAGTTGCCGGCTTTGATAGCTCTTTTTATAGATCGTGCAGCAGCTGGATCAAAGTCTGATGAAGATGTTTGCGTCTGACAATGGCAGGCCTGCACATCGCGCTCCGGTTTCCTGAGTGCGCAAATGCATTTCATTTGGGAACATGAAAGGCATATTTAGTGACAACTGATGGCTCTTTGTTTTTTAATTCCCAATAATGTCTTCGGTAAGTGCTTTTGTTAACATTTTTTGCATTATACAATAGGTGACACAGGAAGATAATCGGTGTGCTGAAAGCAATTAAAGAGTTTATATCCAACTTGTTCTGCCTATTAAATGGATCCGTTCGGCACAGAAGCACATTAGCATCTTTACAGTGAAAGGGTTGTGGAAATAGGTTAGTTATTCACGGGGCCTGTGCATCTTCCTCCTGCTGCAATAAGACATATCTCCAAGATTGGAGAAAAGGAATGAGCCGTTTTTCTCCCCTCGGAACTGTAAACAGAAGTAAAACTATTAATAGATGCTGTAGCTAATCCCAAGAAGCTGCAACTGAGAGATTAAATAATGTCGTGAAGAGAGAAAGCCGGGTGGAGGGAGGGGCGGAGGGAGGCCAGTTCCCTGATCACTGAGCTACATTAGACAAGGGCAAACTGAAGGACTCTCGCTGATCACAGGACTGACAGTCGGTATAACAGGGGATGCCTGCTTTCTGAAAAATAAAGATCACTTCATCTATTTCCTGAGAACTGTTCTAGTGGAGAGATGTATGTTTTATTTCTTAAGGAGTAGTCAACATCATTTTAAATGGGGCTTGGATGCTGTGGAGATGCCGCTTAGCTTAAAGAGCACAAATGGACTTGGTGAGGGGGGGAAAAAGTGTATTTTATGATTTAAAAAATAAACAGAGAACTGAGAGATCAGTAAGTTCAAAATTTGAGCCTAGGACCCCATCTTTATAGCCACATTGACTGTATGCAGTCTTATACCCAGCATATAGAGATGACTAAATGTCCCCAAGGTCTATTCCTACTAACCCTCTTGGACTTTTGACCATTCCTCTTCAACGTACACATGTAGAGGGAGGGGCATAATGAGTCAGCAGCTCTGCTAAGGAGCATTGCATCTCTGCGAATCCTCACACAAACTGAGAGGTTGGCGTTATTGATACAGTTTAGGGCTATTTACTCAACATGTGGTCCATGGACATCATCATCATCATCATCATCGTCATCATCATCATCACCATGACTTGGAAACATATTAGAAATGCAAATTCTCTGGCCCTATACCAGACTTACTACATCAGAAGCTCCAAGAATGGGCCCCAGCAATGCGTTTTATCGAGCTCCATGGGTAACTTTTATGCCCACCACAGTTTGAAAAGCAATGTTTTATAGTTGAGAAACCTGAAGCTCAGAGTGTTTGGGGGTGATATGGTAAGATAACATACCATCCGAGAAACAGACTTGAATTTTGACTGAGGTTTTCTTATTAGGTCTCAAGCTGGGATCTCTTACAGGATAATTGAAATACTAGGTCATCTCCTGCTGGGGCCAGGAGCACACCTGGTCTCGGAAAACGGTCATTCAGTAGGGATTGTGACCCAGGATGCTCGGAATCTAAGACTGACCTGAGCTGCTATTTCCCTGCCAGAATATAAATCCTATTGTCTCTGCCAGTGCCCCAGCTTTCCATACAGGCCAGAAGGACCCCCTCCCCGCCCTGCTTCTGGTGTGTAAAAAAACAAGAAAAATTCAAACAGTGACTGGCAGGTGGGCCAAAGGACGAGAGTGGGGGGCACTATTTCACCCCCTGAAACACCATGGAGAGGGCTGAATGCTGATCGTCTCTCAACATCCCTATACCCCTTCAATCCTGGGAGAAAGAATAGACCCTGGCATGTTATAAAGTGAATCAAATTTTTTTGTGATTGCAAATCACTAAAAATCAGTAGTGAATTGACCTGCCGTGGTCGGCAAACTGTTGCTCGCAAGCCACATGAGGCTCTTTGACCCCTTGAGTGTGGCTCTTCCACAAAATACCACGTGCGGGCGCGCACCTACAGTGCGATTGAAACTTCGTGGCCCATGCGCAGAAGTCGGTATTTTGTGGAAGAGCCACATTCAAGGTGCCAAAGAGCCACATGTGGCTCACGAGCTGCAGTTTGCCGAGCCGCAGTTTGCCGAGCCGCAGTTTGCCGAGCCGCAGTTTGCCGACCACTGACCTAGAGCAAGGAATTCATTGAGTGCGCAAGAATTTGGACCAGCACATGGGGGGAAATGTTTACTGATGCCTGGCCCGATGGCCTGTCACGCTCCATGCTGGGTACTCGGCTGCATGGAGCCCTCAGGAGCTGGCTGCTCACTGGGATGTGACTACTTCTACTAGCATCATTTTGCTTTCTCTTTACCCATTTTTTAAAATCCTTTTTCTTCATAGCAGTTGGAAGGCCAGAGTTGAAATATGTGATTCACTCAATAAAATCAGGCTTTCCAAACAAACCTAAAGGTGTTATTTGGCAGCTGATATCATGACTAAAACGTTTCAAGCTGGGAGTAAGTTCAAGGAAAGTACCTCTAGCATGGAACATGCTGTGGTTCCCACCCCGGGTCTGCCACTTGCCGGTGTGTATGTCTGTGGGCTTGCTACTTTTAACCTGGAGTGTTTTATATCTCCCAGAGTGATTGCGTGACCACACATTCGGTCTGCCCAGGACCACCCAGGTTTACCCTTGTTTGGATGTCACCATGTGGAGCGTTCCCTTCCATTCTGCAAGTGTCCTGACTCAGGTGATAAATCACATAGTGGCCCTAATTCAATGGGATACTGTGGAGAATGTGTCACGTTCCACTGGCACTCAGTAAATGAGAGCTCTTATTTGAAATACTGCATCTGGGAGCTGGTTGTATCTTCTCACTAAACCAGCCTTAGCTCTCCGCCCTGGAAAACGAGGGCCGGCACCCCTAGGACTGTGACTGTCAATGCTGGAGGGTCTGGCAAGCCTTCTCTCCCCAGGTCCCTCCCTGGGCAAGAGCCTGGGGTAAAACTCACTGGTCCCTTCTGCAGAATCAAGCGTTGCTGTCACCTGGGGGTAATCGGTCCATTGGTGTGGTGCTCTGGAGCTTTTAGTACCCGTCCAATGCCAGGTGCTCTAAATCTCTGACATAAAGGTGGGCATCATTAGTCTCATTTTACAATAAAGAACCCAGACTCAGAGAAGTTAAGAAACATGTTTGCCCTAGCCGGTTGCTCAGTGAAGAGAGCATCAGCCAGCAAATCAAAGAGTCCCGGGTTCGATTCTGGCCAGGGACACACCTTGGTTGCAGGCTTGGCCCAGCCCTGGTCGGGGCTTGTGCAAAAGGTAACCAATCAATGTGTTTCTCTCACATTGATGTTTCTCTATCTTTCCCTCTCTCTCTATTCTTCCTAAAAATCAATGGAAAAATATCCTCAGGTGAGGATTAACAAAAGAAAAAAGAAACATGTTTTAGGTCATGCATTTGATATGTGAATGAAAGGGGCCACATGCTAGCCTGACAAGCTCAGGGAAGGCCTGCATGGCAGTATTACAAACTTAAAGACATAAA